TTTAAATTTTGAATACGAGAGGCGCAGTCTTTGCTGGAGTCCAGGCAGGAGGTTGAGGGCGTAAAGTGCGTTTATAAGAAACTACAAGACGAGTTCAACCAGCTGTGCCGGAGGCAGGGGCTGATTTAAAAAATATAATAAGGGTGAATATTGTCATATTTGTGGAGCTCAGAATGTGTCTGCCAGCGCCTCGATCAAATTCACTGATGGTGTTGCATCACCTGCGCCAAAACTTAGACCTCCTTTTCAGCAGGCATAGAGTTTCGTCAACTTTCAGCCACCGGGTGTGCCAGGAACCAGTCATCTAGCAGATCCCCAAGCATTCATTGTTTCGTAAGATTCTCTATGTTTTTATCTTTCCTTTTCTAGGCCCTCTGCAAGGGAGGTGCTTATTTGGGCCGAGAGTCTCAAGGCTCTCTTGGCCAACCAATGTAAGTCTTCAATTGCCCTCGTCACTGCGGGGAAGCGATTAATTCAATGGGCGAGAGGGGCCAATGTCATTCCATCTTTCTTCTCATTGCTCAGACGGCCTCGCGGTATTCCGCCACTTCCTGAGGTCGGAGTACAGCGAGGAAAATCTGGACTTCTGGTTGGCTGTGGAGAAATTCAAGCAGACGTGCCCCCTCAGCAAGATGGCAGACAGAGCCAACAAAATCTATGAGGAGTTCATCTCGTGCAGCGCATCCAGACAGGTAGATGATGACGTTTGAAGACGTCTCCTGGTCATGTGACTCTGACACGCCGTGACAACGTCCTCCAGATCAACGTGGATTCAAACATACGGGAGTTGACCCAACGGAGCCTGCGTCTGGGCGCTGAGACCACATCCTTCCAGCTGGCACAGGATCAGATCTTCAGCCTCATGGAGGCCGATAGCTACCCGCGATTCCTCCGGTCCCGCCTCTATGCCCAGCTGGCCAATCAGGATGTGGGGCTCGCCGATAACGGCCAAGCTGATTCTGCCGAAACGCTCGGTCGGAACCGGACAAGAGAGGTTCTGATCATGTGAGGAACCGACAAGTGTAGTTGCAACGTTGTTGTATGATGTTTGCGTCACTTGATCATATTTTGTGACTTATGTCCATGAGCTTCCGATCAATCAAAGGTTCTTATCGATCAAAGATCTTCTGGCTTAAGCTCCAAGTTGTA